GTGTGTGTGTGTGTGTGTGTGTGTGTAAGAGGGGGAGAAATGTTTATGGATGTCTCCCAGAGTCCCTGTCTTATCTACCTCCTCCCACAGCCTAGAGAGTCCACCTGCAGTCTAAGAGTGTGCCTCCTGTCCAGTTCTGCCTTTTATCTCACCCAAGTCCTTCCCGTGCAACGCCCACCTGGCACGGAAAGGGGGGAGGGAGGAGAAGTGAATTCAGCTGTTTGCTCAGCTAACTTCCTGGCTGGGGCTGGGGCGGCTGAAACAAGCGGTGTAGGGATGGAGACCCTCGTGCCCCCTTCCCAATCCCTGAGGGAAAAGGTTGGGTCTTAGGTGGCCGAAAATGGAGGAGAAAGAGCTAGAGCAAGGGATCTGGAGGACAGGCAAAATTATGCTGGGAACAAAACAGAAATTGCTGCAGACATAATTGCTGTTTATTAGCCGCCTTAATTAAAACAGATTTGCATTTCTATGACTAGCTCTCAGCCAGCGGGTGGGGGTGGGTGGGTGCTGGAGACACTCAGGTGACGCTACTGAGTTTGGGACGGCTAACAGCTTGGAGCTGGATGCGGCGGACGTGGGGGACCCTTCAGGTAACGGCTTCCAGCCTGAGGTGGCTCTGAGCATGGGCTGAGCCCAGTGTAGTGTCTTTCTTACGTATTTTTGCTCCAAGAAGCCTTTGACCAAAAGGCAGGAGGGCTTGATGTTTTAGGAACTTGGATGGCACTTTGTTTTGCTGCTGGCTGGAAGTGAGGATACCATAAAACCTTTTCCCCTTCACTTTCCAGGAACTAGGAATTCTCTGGGGGCGTTTTCAGGCATTCTAAAAGCCATCAGGCAAATGGGTAAGTGTTTAAGGGCTTCTTAGAAGAAAAAAAGAAATCAGAATAAAGGTGGGGTTGGGCAGTCAAAGCACAGTGGTAGTGTGGTTAATCTTCCCCTCCCTGCAGATCCCGGGTTTGAGCCAAACCAGGCAAGACCTGCGCCAATTTACTCCCTAAAAGGCAGTGGGCAGCAGTCGCCCACCAGCTGGGGTGTGTTGTGAGGAGGACCCCATCTCATTTTGGATCCTTTCATAATGTCTGGTCCCTTCAGCCCAGCCCAGGCCCCTTTCCAAAGGGCTTCGCCATCCCTCCACCTGTTCTCTAGATCATTCCTCTCCCACGTTGGTTCTCCCCCCTGGCCACTTAAGCCATCCCCCTGCATCAGGGCGAGATGACCCTAGTTCAGCAGAAACAAACTGCCTCCTTGCTTCACTCCAATCCCTTGGGCGGTTCTCTTCCTGCCGATCTAGGGGAGCCTGTGCCGAAGGACTGGAGGCAGAGGAGGGGGATAGACACACGATCCCTGGGGGGGTGCAGATCAAACCCTGTGTAGCCGCCAGGGCCCAGGCTGGGGTGTCCCTTCCAAGAGAAATGTCCACCCGAGGTGTGCGAGGTGTGTGTTCCCTTCCCAAGAAACCACTTTGTCCCTGCTGGGAAATGCCTGGATATCTAAAGTGACAATGGAATGTCAGTCCCTCATTTATCCACCTGGTTTTCCCCAGAAATGGGGATGTTCCTTTAAAAGCTTCAGGCTTGGGGACCCTGGAGGGTCCCCAGCCCCGCTGGGCTGGTCGTGGGGCCAGCAGACGGGAGCTGGCCACAGTCATGGGCCAGCACCCAGAGCGGGCAGCAGGGGAGGCCACTGCCTTCACGGGGCCTGGCGCCTGAGCTCAGTGTCAGACACGGAGCAGCAGAAAAAGGCTGCAGTCTGCGTTGCCATGGATATACGGAGGCGCGATCAGATGCTGTTATTTTTAGCCCTGCAGTGCCAATTTATTGGTGGCGTCCTGGGGACCCAGGGGGAAGGCAGGAAGACTCCTGAGTCAGGGTTCTGCCCAGGACAGGTGGCCTGTGAGTGCACCCGGGGTCTGAGTAGATTCTCCCTCCCTCTGGGGCTGCCAGGACTCTGGGGGAGGAGAGGAAAAGAAATCAGTGGAGCGGGGCTGGCTAATGGGGAAGCCAGAGGGGAATGGCTGAGGAAGCACCAAGCTTGTTTTAGTTTTCTAGCAAAGGGGGAGAATAGATGAGGCTTCCTGTGGGCAGCTTCCTGGGTGGAGGTGAAGCCAGGACGGCAGATTTCCAGAACATGGCTCAACCCCTCCTTAGGGC